TATTATTTTTCATCTTTACCTCAAGTGTTGTACTCTGTGACTAGGTCTGAAAGTGATAATTACTTCCCCACTGAAGAGACAAGCTGATTTACATATTTATCAAAGGAAACTGGATGGCTCTGAGCATACTGTGGGAACATTTGCATATTTATAACTTGAAATGTACAAAAGCTAAAATTAAAATAGGGGTGTCTTGATCTTAGTTATAAGTTTGTTTTAATACAAAGGTTTTAGTCCGTGGATTTTGTAATCAGATCAGTGCATTAAAATGAAGTAACTTTTCTTCATCACAGAAAATCAACATAGAGATTAAAATGATTGTTAGCTTGTGTATGATGGTATGCAGAAGCTGATTTTCATAAGGTGAAAATCTTAGCCTTTGAGCCCTGAAGAGATGATTAACTGTGGCAAAACCTTAAACTGCTGTAGCAGAAAGGGGCTCCCAAGAGGTTTACTGTGTGGTAAACCTATGGGTATATACTTGAAAGGCATCAATATATTTTCTGGGAGAAATGTGGGTTTCCAAATACTTATGCATGTAGCAATAATTTTTAGGATTTTATGCATTTATTCAACGGCTTGCATTCACAGAGGTGAATGCCTGGAGCTGACTACAAGTTGTGATTCTGGCTAATGATGCTATTCAAAACCAAACATGAGCAGCAGTAGCAAATTCTAAACAGCAAATAAAAACAATAAAACCCCAACACAATCATACTGCCTCTTCTTGGCAGTGATGTGATGGCTTATTTTCCCAGGCTGATCTATTGGAAATCTTTGTTCAATAATTGTCTCAGTCTTGCTGTAAATTTCTGGATACAAGAGAGTCATGTGAAAGTTTACTGGAGTTGGAAAATAGTGTTACATTATTAGGAATTTCCTTTACTGTCAGTTATCTCTTCCTGAGACAGATCCTTAACCCTCCTTCTGAAACATGTTTTTTCTTTGAATTTGGAAGACTGCTTTAAAGCTTTCATCACAAGTAGAAGCTATTCTTTTCTAATGCCTAGATTACACAGAGGTATTCTATTTCCTCTAGCTTCTTATTCACAATTTCAGCAATAGTCTAAATTATTTTGAATTAATACAAATAATATTTATTGCTCATTGACTTGAAATGTCACTAAACTAATTTTTGAATAATATGCATTTGTCCATGTGCTTGCTTGACTAAACACTTTAACAAATCAGTAACACATTTGTAAACACATTATTGTTTTTCAGTGTTTGTACCTTGTTTACAAATGAATAGTCATTTTTTAGAAACCCTATCTCTTCTTGTAGATGCATATAGTAGGAGCTTTACATGAGTCAAAACTCAGTAATTACAGTCATCATTAGCAAGGCTGGTTCAGCTACCATTCAGGCTGGGCTGGAGAACTTGAAAAGCGGCATGGCGCTGTGTTTCCTTCCTAAGAACAGAGTCAATTGCTCTTCTCTCTTTCCCATGGCTATCACTCCACTGAAATTGGCATTTTCACATTCAGAATGGAACAATTCTTTATAATTTTACACAGCTTGAAGCAAGAATGGAGAGTAGAATACAGAGAGCACTCAGTATATTTCACAAGAAGTTTAATTTAAATTTTGGAACACTGATGTCCTAATTAAAACAAGTAACATCTTAACACAGCCCTCAATTTATTTTGTATCTTAAAAATATATAAATGGAAGCAAAATGTCCAATGATCTAACACCTTTGTCTGCTACAATGTTAGTCACCTACATTGCAGAATACATTCCTATAATGGCAGTGGTAGGAGTAGCTTGATCTGAAATTCTGGTTGCTAAACAGCTGCAGAAATTATGGAGCTCCATCACCTAGATTGATTTGGATATTCAGAAATGTTGTCTTTCCAAATATGTTCTGTTCAAATCAGAAGAAAAAAAACTGGTACCATCCACACAGATCAGTACAGCAGTTAATTTTTCAGAACGTGACTTTCAAGCAAGGTATTTTAATTTAAACTCTTTATTGTGTTAACGGGAGTTACATCATTCAAATACACTTAAATTTGTCTTGTATCTTGGTAACACACACTTTGCTGTTTATTTACAATTTTCATTCTAGTAGGTGCTAGTGTTCAGGATCAAAATGAAGGTTTGCTTATGAGTGTGTTGTGACTGCCATACTCTGGCAATACTGTTTTTTGAATTACCACTATTAGTCCATCTGTACTGAAAAATGTTGCTGCTAAGATAAATTGTCATTTTAGCATTTGTTAGTTAAACCTTATGTATGCAATCCTCTGTGTTTCAAAATCCTTTTGAAGGAAATGGAAGTTTTACCATTGAGTTTAACAATGGATGAGAATTTCTATGCATTTTATATGGTTGGGTTTTTTCTAAAATGGGACATGTTTGAGTGTCAGAATTTAATATTTTTTTCAGAGAAAGACTAGTTACTCTACCTCATTAAAAAGAATCATTGTAATATCTTACATTTAATTTTAATATTAATTTTTAATTTTAAGTTTAATTGTTTGTGATAGTTAGACAATTTTCGTTGCTTCTCATGTCTTCCCAAATTAGTTGGAAAAATCAAAGTGATCATTATTGAATGATTGCCAATGCTTTTCTTCACCAGAGATCATGTTATATACTGAGTGCCATTCTCTCTTTATTGTCATTTTGGTTTACATACAAGATTAATTTGAAAGTTCAATTTCATCATAAACATGAGGTATGTAAAAAAAATATTGTTGTGCACATCACTGCACATATATTTCTTTGCACAATACTATTTATTGTATTTGTATCATAAAATCATAGCTTGATGTAGGTTGGAAGGGAACTCTGAAGGTCATGTGGCTGCATACCTACATATAATTTACTAATTTATCTTTGTACTCTACGTTTTTATGATTATTGACACATTTCCAAGAGATATTGTAATCACTTAACAAGTACATTCTCCAAACAGTTCCCGAAGCCAATGGGAAATTGCCTCGTTCTTTTCTGGCACTAAGTCCATCCACCTCATGCAGCAAGCGCATGGCTTGTCAGAAGGATCTGCGTGATTTTTCCCTCAACCCACCAGCTTTAAAATGTCAGCCTTTGTAACAGATTTTCTCAGCTCTGTTGGGAAATTTCAACTCCCACAAGGCTTCAAAATTTACATAAACAAATTCTCCTACTCTTGCATTTCTTCTTTGCTCCTACTTTACAAACAAGACCACCAGGTATCTACTTAAATTTAGCAGCTGATGTTCCTTTATTCTTGACCCAGTCATTTGAAAAATTATGACAGTCAACCACTTTAAAAAGACAGTTTTAAAATGATATAACATGAAGAGGCAACTAGAAATAGTAGCAATAAAGTAAGGTAATTACTCTTTATCCAGAAAAAGAGCATAGCAGCAGAAACAGTGATCTGAAAACCATTTAGAAGGCTCTGTATTTCAAAGTTCTTACTCATCCTCTTTGACACAATAATTGGGCATCAGATGATGAAATAATTCTTAGTGGTCAAGTTAGCAAATCAAAATTAACATTCAAATTGGACCATTCTTGGATGTTTAAGTAAAAGAATAAAGATAAAATAGTTGTGAAGACAGAATTATCTTTATATGTTCTGAGATCCCTAAAGGACAGGTTCATTGTCAGGCTGATGTGAAGAATTATATTCTTAAGCTTTATTCGTTTTCCAGGACCAATAATTTTAGATTCCTAATCAGTATAAAATCCTCTGGAGCAAGTTACAAAGAGAAGCTTCACTCTCATTCATACAGAAACGCACTTTAAAGAATTCAGTCTAAATAGGTTTCAGTGCAATTTATATAACTGCAAGGCCCTCCACATTTCGAAGTAGTGTGAGGAGCCCTTTGTGAGAATGAAACATGAGCCCGTGGTGCCTAAGAGCTACAAGACATATCCCTGTGCGTACTTCTTTTAGATGGGTGCACCTGGGTGTGTTTATTACCTTGCATATTTTGAGTTTAGTTGATGTTTTTCCATATGTTGGGATATTAAGGGCTAGTTATTAGGTTTTATAATGAAAGCACACATACTTTAAAGGTGCTACTTGAATTATCTTACTTTTTTTTTCTTACTCTAACAGTAGCACTGAAATTTTTGCCATGCTGCCTCTATGGGTTGCTAGGCAGCAAGGCTTTACCCCCAAACTGCGAGATCTACTCTGCATGCTGAGACTCATTCCTCAGTGTTACTAAATATCCTCAGTGGCTTGAATCTTGCTGGGGGATTTCCTTGATTGAGAGCAACTGCTTCCAAAAGTCACTTGCTCTCTGTGGATTAGCCCTTTTCTCTGATGTGCACAAATCCTCTCATACTGTTCTTCAAGAAACCCTGCAGCAACTGAGTCATGGTCCTGATTGCTGCAAGCCCTGTGTGATTGTGCCCTAGTATGCTGCATGTGCCTATTGCTGAGTATAAGAGAGTTTATGTGAAATGTGGTCTCAAAAAGGCAAAGGGACACAAATATTTATATGTGCCAAGGCTAATGAAAAAGTAATTTAAAGTCTCCAGCATCCAGAGGAAGGCAACAGGGCTGATGAAGGGCTTGGAACACAAGCCCTGTGAAGAACGGCTGAGGGAGCTGGGGATGTTTAGCCTGGAAAACAAGAGACACAGGGGTGACCTCATCACTCTCTACAGCTCCCTGAAAGGTGGTTTTAGTTAGGTGGGGGTGGGTCTCTTTTTACAGGAAACAGCTGACAGAACAAGAGGATACAGTCTTAAGCTGCATCAGGGCAGGTTTAGGTTAGATGTCAGAAAAAAATTTTTCACCAAAAGAATGATTGGGCACTGGAATTGTCTGGCCAGAGAGATGGTGGAATCACCATCCATGGACGTGTTTTATAAACAGACTAGACTTGGTACTCGGTGCCATGGTTTAGTTTATTAGGAAGTGTTAGGTTAGGTCATAGGTTGGAATTGATGATTTCAAAGGTCTCTTCCAACCTAGTTCATTCTGTTGTTCTTAAAGCTGTTCTTTTTTTTTTTTTTTTTGTTTTGTTTTGTTTTTTTTTTTCACCTAGGGCAAGTTCTGGATGTGCTGGAGAAGCATAACCTGAATGACAAAACTCTTGTATACTTTACATCTGACCAAGGGGCTCATGTTGAAGAAATCTCCAGTGCTGGAGAAGTCCATGGAGGATACAATGGCGTATATAAAGGTGACTATTCTCTGATTGTTCTTGAAAAATGCAAGAAAAAACATCTCCTTGGGTTTGCACCAAAACTGTAATGTACTATGTGGCCAAGGTCAAAATCTTTGATCTATTTGAAATAAAGTAAGAATGTTTTTTTTATTCTTTTTAATGAAATTACAATTAGTCTTGTTGTTTCTTTATTAGTGATTAATTTCTTTTCATTCTTTCACTAGGTAGAGGCTGTGTAATTTGTTTTCCACTCATATTTCAGGGGTCAAGATCAAAGAAATCCAGCAATCTCATAGTAGTTGAGCCTGAGAGGTATCTCTCAAGGTCTGCAGTCCCAGCCCTTGCAGAGCAGGGTCAGCTGTAGTACATTGCTCAGGATTGTATCCAGTCAAGTTATGAAAGTGATGGAATTTCATAGCCTCTTTGGGCAACTTTCTCTAGTATTTGATCACGCTCACCATAAAAAAACCTTTCTCTTATGTTTAAATGGATTTTTTTGTGGTTTAGTTTGTGTCCATTGTCTCTTGTCCTTTCATTGGCTCCCCACTGAAAAGAGTCTACCTCTGTCCTCTTTACTCATATAAATCCATGTAATCCCTACCAATGGATAAGATCCTGGTAAGCATTTTCTTCTCCAGGATGAACATCTCTCTCAGCTTCTCCTCATATATTGAATACTCCAGTTGCTTAATCATTCATCACTTTCATTCCAACTCATTCCAGTATGCCCATGTACCTTGTACTGGGGGGTTCTGCACCCGGACCCAGTGCTCCAGATACGTCTCACCAGTGCTGAGCAGAGAGCAGGACTGGCTGGAAGAGTTCTTCCTAGTGCAGCACAGAGTGATGTTGTCCTTCATTGCCAGAAGGGCACATGCTGTCTCATGTTAGGCTGGTTGCTCCCTAGAACCCTCCAGTCCCTCTCTGCAGAGCTGCTTTCCAGCCAGTTACTCCCCAGCCTTTGCTTTGCTAGAGGTTGCTGCTGTGAAGATTCAGGACTTGCTATTTCCTTTGCTGAACTTAATGGGGTTCCTTTTGGCCCATTTCTCCAACCCTATCAAAGTCCCTTTGAAAGGTAACAAAATCTTCCACTTTTGCCAGATTTATATCAACTGCAAAACTTCAAAAAGGAAAAAAATCAGGCATATAAAGTAAGGTTTTCAAGCAGGAGGACCCCACAGTTTTTAGTCAGTAGGTATCTATCTGAGAAATGACCCATACATTTTAAGAGAGCTTCAAAGAAAATGGTACACAAGAAAAACAAGGAATGCCAAAGGGATGATGTCTATCAGATGGGTCCCCGTGGGCTAACACCAGAGTGAAATGTATCTTGAATGTTAGCACATAGGCCTTGCATAGTGATTTAAGTAATTAAGGAACCATATGGTTACATATCTGTAGCCGTAGGCTCAGCCTGAGGTGTTTTAGAAGCTCTAAAAAATATTTGCCTTCTAGAGTGCCAGACATAAGGTACAGGATAAATTATAAGGAAGGAAAAAATACACTTGGGAATATGTCTTCTTGAAGAACTTTGATTAAATGGAGTCTTTCTCTCAAGCCTTGCACAATTTTGTATTCATATTTACAGTGCAGAGAAAAACTTGAAATATATCTTACCTGTATTAAGAAAAAAGTCTGATTGATAGGTTTAGTTGAGTAGTAATGGGTCTTATAAAAAAAAAAAGGAAAAAGTTGTGTAGTTTGCAATTAACACCTCTGCTGTGCTGACAAATGGGTTAGAAAAATAATCACAGTGTAAGAAAAAAATATTATTTGATGAGAAACATTCTTAATAAAATAAAAAGAAATTAAAAGACCCATGCAATTAGTTGAATATACTTTTAACATTTTAAAATGCAATTAATTCTGCTTTACATTCCGCTTCCTCCATCTCAAAATCAGTCCTTAATTTAACATGTATATTATTCATCATTTTCAAAAGGACTGAGGTAAAAATTATCAATTAATTGCATACTACCAATTTTCATACATAGGAATTTGTTCATATTAAAAGTCATGTGTGGTGAAAAGCATCTGTACATATTTGTCAGAGTTAATGAGAAACAGACCTGTGAAGCCCCAAGACTAGCAATGTACCTAAAAAAGCAGGACAGTCTTGATGCTGCTTGTTTTTATGTGTCCACACACTAGGAATTTCCTTTCTTTGGTGTGTAGTTAAAAACCTGTGAGACACACACATCTTTTCTCCCTCCCTGTCTCAGCTAGTCAATCTCCACTACTTATCTTTTTGTCTCGGAGTGCTGCATGAATACAAACATGAATCAAGGCACTTAACCCTCTTGTCAGAGCTGGAGTAATATGCTCAGCAACAATTGGTTCTGCCCTAAAATCAAAAGCTCTTAAGCAAACTCCGCAATTCTAACTCACTAATTTCTCTTGATACCTAGCCAAATAAGCACCAATAATAAAATTTAAGAGGGTTTTGGATAGTTAAGCTAGTGCTGCAAAATGCAATGCAAAAAGGGGAAATTGCTGTTGGAATGTTTTATTACTCTAGATCCTAACTACAGAACAGTCCACCATAAATCTGGATAGTTAGAAACCAGAACTAACCAATTGCTGTCATAGAAAGTCTGGTTTATTTCTGCAGTATTCCTTTTTAGAAGACATTATATAGTAATACTGAAGTGATGGATCAAAATCTCTTTCCAGTGGCCTTCTTCTGATGGTTGGTTATCAGGATCTGTGTAGTAAATAAAATCCCTAAAAGGATCCTAATCCTAGACAGTATGACCTTGGTTTAAGATGTGAATTCTGACAATTTAGATTCTACAAAGATTCTTAACATTAATTATATATTTTTTTTATCATATAAAGATAAATTCCCACTTTGAGTCTTTCTAAAATCTGTGCATAGCCTCTATCACTTATCCATGAGAGCACAGTACTTTCATTTACTGTTATGAAATGGGACAGTTGCAAATTTCATGGAACATCTTGAAGTTTAATAATATGTTCTCACTCATATAGCATAAAGGAGGGGAAATTTTAAATTTTTTCATAACTTAAATTTGTTTTGTGTACTTTTACTATGGCTCTTGGGAATGGCGAAATTCAGAAAATAATTGTCTTTTCCATCTCTCTTATGATTTTCAATTGTTGAGTTTTTACTCATCCCTAATTTCTTATTATTTTCCTGTGTGAATTACTTCACTTTCAAAACGGAAGTAAATATACTAAAAGAGAAAGGGACTCAACACAGTGTAGCTTCAAGGTACCTTACGTTTGTTTTTTGGGTATGTTTGCAAAGGGTCACACAGACTGTTTGTTCTCTCTTTTTGCTTCATCTTTTTGTTTTCTAGTCAGAATTTGATTCATGAAAATTCCTTGTCTCCTAAGCCATGATTAATGTTCCAGTAACTTTTCCTGAAGGTCTTTGTCAAAGATCTTTCTAAGGTTTAAATCTAGATACAGATTCTAAAACAAAAAATAGTGGCTATTTTAGTAAGAATTTCTTCGCAACTGAAGAATTTCTTCGCAACTTTCTTCATACCTGAACTCATCAAGTACTCCTGGGATTTGTACAAGACACTATTAATATTTTAATTAAATAAAAAATAATAACAATTAATACATTAATATTAACAATTTTATATTGAAATATGGAAAGTAATAGGTGTAACTGAAGTATCTTATTAAAATTTTCTATGTAGTTTTTCCAGCTTTTTTCTTTCCAGTTCTGTAATATTTGTCTATTGAAAGTCAGACGCTAGAACATTAAGGTATTGCTTGTATATATGATTTCCAGGATACCTGCACTGACTTCTCCTTAGGTGTTTTTCACTAGCTGCCTCACTGGAGCATGTCCATTTGATGTAGTCACCATAGCTTTCATTTAGGAGCAGAAATAAGGTTAGTTTTTCCAAATACTTTGGATTTGTACTTTCAAATAAGATGAGCAGAATAAATAAATGAAGAGAATTTCCTCTATATTAACAAGATGTGCAAGGTGACTGATTTAAAGGAAGCCATTATATTCTTCTTTGATACTCTGAGATTTTGAATCGAAATATTTTGTTGTAATTTCTATTTAGTTTCTTAGTAATTTCTTGAATTAGCCTTAGTGTGCTATCATATATACAAATACATAATTTGTATCAATAAACTATGAAGGCAATTAAAAATTTTCTCTACGTTTTTTCTCACCATAGTATTTCACTGGCACATATGCAGACAGTACAAGTCCTCCCTCGCTATCACTTGTTGACATCCATCCCACTTTGTCACATACTGGATTTTCTGTTCAATCTCCTTACATCTTACTGTCTTTTGGATATGTACATTTTGCCTGTACCTCAGATCTGCATGAGAAACAGTTTTTCTTTATATTTACAAAGCACAAAGAAAATAGGACAATACAGCTACTTGGCTACTGTCATGCTGCCAGAGTGGGTCAGAAGTCAGTGCAGAGTGGGTCTGTTGATAATGGAAGTGGAGCCAAACACTGATAAAGTCAAACTGTGTGAACAACATTCATTTCAAGTGTTTTGTGCCTTAGAAATAGGTATTATCATAGTTATTTTTAATATCCATAAAAAATAATAATGTCTCAATAAGGACTTAGGCCCTGATTTGGTTTTTAAAATCTGCTACAGATCTGTGAGATCAAGAAATTAATACCTTTTTTTTTTAATGTATTACTGTAAAAAAATTATATACTGCAGTGATAAGTTAGTTGAGCAGGGTTTCTTGAAGCTGTTAGTAAATCTTTTCATTCCTCTAAGCCACAGAGAAATCAAGCTGGCCATTACTTTGACCCCAGGAATCAAGCTATGGCATATCTGGTGATATTTGTTCGAGTTTACTTTTCACTTGAAAGAAAGCAGTAGTTGACTTTTTTCAAATGTACTGTATTTTTATAGTCTCTCTGAAGTGATCCAGATTTTTAAATAATCAACTCATCTTTTAATTTTGAATGAAAGAAAAATATCCTCACAGATAATTTTCTTTGATTGAAGGAAATGTTAGATGAAAAACATCCAAATGAGCCATGTCTATTCCATTCACCTGTACAAGAATAGCTCAGATTAATATAAATAAAATTAACAAAAACAGTACAAGAAACAAGGTAAAAATCAGTAAGAGTAAACTTGTCATTGAAAATAAATTTTCGTTCAACCATTTTATAAAGTAAGCAATACTAACCAGTCTTGATTGTTGATATTTGTGACATTAATCCAGTAGAGATGGGTGGAATAATGAATGTTGTGTTTATAATTCAAGAGAATAAATTGGGTCTGGAAGCTTTGTTTTTAGAAGCATATATGAAGGAAAGTGTAGTATGGTTATAATCCAGGTGATTTAAGAAAGTTGTTTCAAATAGTTTTCATCATTCATCATCCATAATGTTAATGGTGATTTACTGCAGCATTCCCCTTTATACATCATCCTTTGTAAAAGCTCTATTGCCAGAGTTAGGTAATAGCAGTCAATTTAAATGAGAGGGAAAGAAAAAAAGATGTATTCTTTTAGCTAAGATTTGAAATGAGGTTAAAATGGAAATTTGACATCATGTTGTGGATGACTGCAGAGAGTTATGTCTGTATTTTGCCTGCTCCTGCAGATTTTTCAGGAAAGGTGAATGTAGGCTATTGTTCAATGTAACACTGAAAGGGACAACTACTCAGAAAGCATACATGGCGAAGCAGGAAAATACAGTCTCATGTGTTTTGTGCTGCTTTAAAAACATTTTTTAAAGACTTTAAGAGAATAAAAATAACAAAAAGGTAAGTTGTCTAGATTTTGCAAGGCATACAGGCTACTAGGTTTCGGTCTTTTCTCTGTTTCAATGTTGTCAAGTCTGAGCAAAACACAAAACTAATAAGCCATGTTCTTAAATATCAAGAGATTTTGTTTCAAAATAATTATATTTTCTGGATTTTTAAAAATTTTATTATATTAGCCATTTAGAAATTTCTGTGTTTCAAGCATCAGTAGTAAAACCTTGATTATTTTTTTTTAAGGGAAAAAGAATGCAGATATCTTGAACAGAGTTTAACAGCTAGAGTTTTAAAGATGATAAATGTCCAGGGATTTGTAATTGTGTAATGGCATTAAGCACCTGCAGTCACTAAGCGCAATTCTAATAAAAATGAACACCATGTAAGCAGAGATAATAGAAGACAGTCTTCTGCAATGACCTGTAATTCCTGCCCTGATTCCCTGTTATTCCCAGTCTCCAGAGATGTAAAAAAAAAATTATGCTCCAATTAGCCTTTTGAAAGGAAAACAGCAGTCACTTCTTCATAGATGTAAGTAAGGAGAAAGCCCTGCTGTGGAATCCATTTTGCTTTTTCTACCTTACAGCAGGGCATCAGAGTTTGTGTAGTGTTCCTTTGTACTTGAGTAATGTGCAATTTTTCTGTTGTTTTCTGCTGATTCAAGAAAATTGTACTGTGAACCTAAGAGCTGTGAAAGTGACCCAATATCTAAGTTTTAAGAATTGCAACATGTGTGATAATCAGATTTACCACTGAAATTTCTCTGTATTCAGAGTATACAGGAGACAACAGTGTAGCAAGACTTTATTTAAACATCCAGTCCAGTACATCTGTCTAGTCTCTTACTAGACAGAGTATACAGAATCACTAGGCAGGCATACAGAAATAAGAGGAACATCATAGCTAAAGCTACCAAAGGTATAGATCAACTCTTAGTGTTGTCTGTCTGTTGGTACCCTTCAGCCATAAAGTTGCTGCCATGTATACACAGAATTAGGATCTGTCTCATGAACTAACTCATCTCCCTGGTGTATCTGTTCACTAAAAGTATGTTCATTTGAGGATATTTGTAATTTTAGGGCCTTATGCTTGTTTTGCTTGGATTGACCAACTCCCACTCAGCAAGATTTTCTATGCACCATAGCCCAGTCAGCTTATTAATCTTTCCTGCTGTGTAACACCTAATTCCCACCAAACTTTGAAAAGCATAATGGCTGTTGTACAGGGGTAGAGTCATCTTTTCTACAGAAGATAGACACAAGATCTTGACATCTACACTGGTCTTGACTCAACAATATGAACAACCAATCAGTATACTTTTGGGTGAACACTTCCTTTGGGTGACAGGTGTTCTGTGTCTCACCAAATAACACTTTTTGAACTTAAATCTACATTTTCTTTAGAGTTTCAAAAATAATATTTTACTAGAATGTGCACAAAAATTGGACATGCATCTCATTCTTGAGTAGGTAGCCACACACTTCATCATTATAATGGAATTACATTTAACTCAGCAAGGGCAGTAAACTTTTAGGAGTGTTCTAGAAGACAGACAATCCAGTAGAGATCTGATCTTGACACCATTAAAAAAAAAAAAAAAAAACTTAAGCAAATATTGTTGCTTGACATAAGGCTGAATATTAAAAAGTTTTAACTTTTCTAATGTCAGACCAGATGTGTCCCTGACTATTTAATATTATGAGTTGTGATAAAGCCTGTGGAAAAAAACCCCGAAAAATCTGATATAACAAGGAATCATGAGCTAAGTGTCCTTCAGTTACAAGAAAAGAAAAAGGTAAATTTATACAAAAAAGAGTTGTCTTTCTTGAAGTTACTACTTACCTTTACAAACAGTGAAAATCCTGTAGAAAACCAGGTAGATTCTGAACCCCTTTTGCTGAAATGGAAAAGATCATTGAGAAGTCAATAAAATAGACAGCATGTATAACAAGGCCTGGGGTCAATACCAAAGGTATTGACATCTATGAGGTGTTTTGGGTGTTTAGGATGCTGAGGAAGCAGAACTTTTGAAATACTTTGTTGTAATAATTTTTGTTGTTGTTGTTTGTTTGGTTTGGGTTAATTTTTTATTTTTTGGTTGTTGTTTTTTTTTTTTAACTTGAAAAAGGGAGATACAGGAAGAAGATAGTCCTGTAGTAGTTTGGCCTGAACCATGAATTGCTATTTGGTTCATTTAATGGCAGAAGTCCAACCAATACATTTTTGTTTTTCCAGACATTTTAATGGTATAAAATTTCAATTTATGTCCAAATGGCCCTGACTGTGTTTAACCATATTCAAAACTCATCTGCTAAACAGGGGTTTCTTTTTCAAGAGATATAATAATTTCAAAGGTCACCGTGAAGTGTTCTGCATAGTCACAACTGTGCAGGACATTGGTAATAGCATTTGTGATTCCTCTTCATACAGAGCCAGTTCAATTTTTTATTCAGTAATGGGGAACATGCTGTCAGAGAATAAACCCATTGCCCTTCTGCAAAAGGTGTTGGGAGGACTCAGCAGTGATGGATCTTGTAGAAACAGTAAATGACTGCAAGGCACTGTTGAATGGAATCAGTTGATAGTGCATTTGATGCAACTGTGTTGGTTTAGAGCACAAAAAGTTCTTTACAGCATCCTGAAATTTACCATCACTGAAGTGAATTTCTTTATAATGCATTGAATTGGAGAATTCAGTAACATACTTAAAGTAGTACTTTCTTCTATATAAAGTCATTAAGCATCGTTTTTAATAAAAAGTCATGTACCTTCTCTGGATTCATACCTCAGACATCTAAGTATAGCTCTTTTTTTACTTATGGATTCCTGTTTTTGGGTTATAGTTCACATATCTGTAGGCTACACAATCTAGGCCTATATGAAGATTCCAGTGAAATGCCCTTTAATCTCCACAACTACTTTTTTGGTGCAATTTAAATGCACTTTATAAGCTCTGTCTAATACATATTAGTAAATTTACAGAAAGAAAGTACTACAGAAGGTAGAAAATTGAGAAAATTAAGAATAGGACAAATTTGTCTAATGGAAAGATTCTAGCTAGACAGAATGTTTAATATTTTGAAATTGAATTTAATGGGGTGGAATTATCAAAGGAGAAACTGATTTCTCAGCAAACAAAACTAAATTTTTCAGGTGGAAAATCAACGAACTGGGAAGGAGGCATTCGTGTGCCAGGTCTTCTCCGTTGGCCTGGCGTGGTACAGGCTGGCGCCCATATTGATGAGCCAACCAGTAACATGGATATATTTCCTACCATAGTTAAACTTGCAGATGCACAGCTACCCTCTGACAGGTATGCTCTGTAGTCATCTCTGTTTTAGACTAAGTGCCATGAGTGTTTTATTCATTCTGGTGATATCTATTAAGATAGAGGTGAGAATGTCAATAAGAAACTAGGTTTTCTACTTGCAATATCAGGTTGTCTCTTCATATTGACAGACTGATAATATTTTACAGAAATGTTGTATGTAAATACACTTAACTCACAAAACAAACACCAAAAAGACAACAGAATACCATCAGATCAATGTACTGTCAAATCAAATTTGAAATTACTTACTAAAAGCAAAAATGAATGTAACAAAAAAGATCCTGTTCTGCATGAGTGAATTTGGTGGAAAAAGAAACTTTAAGTGTAAATTACTTTAAACTTCATGAGCTTAGCTGTGACCTGCTTAATATCACAAAACACATCAAAATGCCATCTCCGTTTTTCTCACAGTTTTTTGGAGTTTTTTGTTTTGTTTGTTTGGTTTTTTCTCTGTACCTAGTAGTCAAAATAATCCCATACAGGGTTTTGCATTCTGATAAGAAAAGCCACTGGACTTCCACAATTCATAAGATGCCTTCCTGACACTGCTACATCCCCAGGCTTTATCTTGTTTGTGAGATGCACAGTTTCAGTGGCAAGGTGCCTCTGCCTAAATGCTGTTGCTCTCCAAATCCAGTGAGTGGAGAAACCTGTTGATATGCATGTGCTTTGAACACATTGATGACTCACAAACAGCTTTTGAGCACAAAGCATCAAGAATCCACATGGGGAAGCCCACTGGTGAGCAGAGTCACTCTGCTAATGATTATTCATTGAGTGTTTGAAGGAAATGGCAGGGCAGGACAAGTCTAAGACATTAAAAATTAGTCAGGTTGGTCCTGAGAGATGCTCTACAAGTAGTAATTCTGTCAAACCTCAGAAGTTCTGATTGTTCTTTATGTGGCAGATCTATTGCATTTTGTTTTCATATTGCTTGAGTGAATACTAAGTACTGATGTTTTCTTTGATCCGCTGTGTAGAAATTCAAATATAGTTGTGTAACTTCCACTTGTAGGTTGCTCTGCTGTGATTCTTCTGTGCTAGACTGATGCCATAAGTACTGTTTCATCTTAGGTCATAGAATAGCTTGAAGTACTTTTGTTCCAGCAGTTGGGTTCTTTTAGCTCCACTGAATTCTTCCTGAGAAATAAGAGAAGGTAATATAATTAATACTCTGTCACTGTGAGAAAGCAAGTTGAAAAGGAATGGAAGAGATGCTCCTAGTTAAAGAAAAGAAATCAGTAATTGGAAAGCAAAGTCTCATGTATTCCTCTGAATCCAGCAGCTGAAGCAATGTTAGAGTACTGGAGACTTTTTTTCTGGAGATGCCTTTTTCCCCGTCAACAGGCTCTAGAACAGAAGGTGTTCAATAGACATGCATCTGTTAATGAGCCAGCTTGTAAGACGAGCCTGTTACTCAGGCAAGAGAACATGAAAAACTTAAAGTGGGAAAGATTCTATTTTAACAGACCCCCACAGACAGGAATTCACCCAGATGGCAGTTATCAGACAAGATAGCTTTCAAAATTCCAGGAAGTTTTCCTGCCCATCATTTGAGAAAAGTCCTATTCTGAATGTCTTTGTTGCATACAATTGCTGGCAAGAATTCAATCATCACATGCAACTTAAAAAAGTAAACTTAGTACCTGTCTTGTAGTAGTTACACCACAGTAGTTACTATATATTTTATGTAATGGTAATGAAATGATCATGTATATAAAGGTAATGAAAATCAACATAGACCATTTAAAACTTTTTGTAAGTTTCAAAACAATTTTATGGTTTGTAGCTCAAAATGCTTGAGAAAGAATTACATGCTGATTTTTATATCAGCAAAAAGTAATTTCCGATAAGACTGAAAAATTTGTAATTCATACAAGGTCAAAAATGCAGACTATGATTTCTCCCCAGCTGATGTCAGCAATTCAAAGGTTTGCTATAGGGAAGCAGCTAAAAGTCTTGCTTATTTTATAAGTCAGTTTTTATGTAAATTGACTGACTCTTTCAAAGCATGATCAAATTGTCCAGCAGCATTTAGAGAATTTATATATATTTATGTGTGTGTGTGTGTGTGTGTGTGTGTGTGTAGTTGATAAATGCATATTTAAACAGTAAATTTTCAAATTTGAAATCACCACTTCTGTCTTAAATTCTGGCATGCAGAATATACTGAACAGAGATATTACCACTATTTCTGGGGATGCTAGCACAGAACAACATATTTTCTCTAGTTTTAGGGTTACTTCAGCCAGACTACTCCCAAAAACTTGAATGTGAAGGACTGTGTTGTAGCAGTTTATTCACTTATGTCTGTTCACTTTCTCAGAAGTGAAAAAAAAGAGTTGAGGAACTATTCATAATAGCAAAATGTAAAAATGTTTCCTTAGGTAATGTAAACATCAAAGAGAAGAGCACCTGAAGGTTTTTCTCCAATTGAGCAATTGGAGGTGGCTATTCAGACTTGGGTTTTTTTAAGCAGCGGATGATCAGAATTATCATATCTTATAGAAAAGTGAGGTTTGAGTTATTTTATTGATTTTTAAATGCTTTCTTACTCAGGATTATTGATGGACATGATCTGCTACCTTTAGTTCAAGGAGAAGTTACTCAATCTAAGCATGAATTTCTCTTCCATTACTGTAATGCATATTTAAATGCAGTACGCTGGCATCCAGGAAACAGTAAGTAAACTTGCCTGTTCACATTTTAAATATTTAATATAATTTTTATTGCAGCTTGAAAAGAACCAGGAGGAAGCCTTAGGCTATAGTAACAAAAAAGTTGTTTAAAATATCTAGCCTTTTTCCATCTCTTTCACTTTTGTCTTTGCTGTTACATTCCTATTCACCATTTTACTGTTTGACATTATTTTGTAGTTATGTATTAATGTTGAATATGAATGCAATACTGAGATCTATGGTATCTGAAAATGTCCTTTTTTTAAAACCTTCATGAGAGAGAGTCTGTGTAACAGAATGAAGCAGTCAAGGTTGACACTTACATTGTCCTAAAAATTCACAGGTAATAGGATGGTTTGCTGAATAACAGCAAAAGTATGATGTCAGCCTGGCCACTTTTGTTAGTCAGATAACAAAACATAGAGGAATCCCTGAGTCAAAGTCATAATTATCCAATAAATGAATATAGTATTATAGAATCCCTTTTCATGCTTTTTATGAATGACATAATTCTACTTTGTAGGCCAAGGAAAAAAGTATTTCTCACTGATTTGCTCTTTTTAAACTTACCGCTCACTGTTTCTAGTAGTACCTTCCACATTAACCAAGGCATATATCCCTTTCTATAAAAATCTCTGCGCTGAATGAAATTAAACACACATTTTGTCCCACCTCAGTTGACATTGAAAGTGATGACTTGTGTTACAGCTTCAAAGTAATGATCCAAAACAAGCTTTGGTGTAGAATTTTTTCAATTATTTTTTTATTTAAGTGTTGTGGGAAAGGACTTGTTTAATAGTTAATATGCAAACTTAAAGTACTTAGAAACTCTGTCTCTTTGGTCATCTGTAGGCTGACTCTCTACCTGTCTCAGACTTTAAACTAGGAGAAAGGAAATATTACATATAATATTTAATTACCATTACTGTGCCTCTATGTCTTGCATTTGATAAATAATCATAGGGAAGAACCACACAATCAGATCTAGAACCATTTTGTATCTGCTGTTGGATGAAGTTATTCTGCATCATGAGAGAAGTGAGAAAAGAAGCTGTTTTTTCTCAGACATACACCTTTGCAAGATGATATAACCCTTGTCTGAGGAAAGGGTCATCTTTATTATTCACTGAAGGGGAATGTGATGGGAAATGAATGTGAGCAACAGTGAGGGACTAGTCTACTGCATTTACTTGATGAGTAACAGCAACATAGAATGTGATTCATCCTTTCTCCAAGGCATTCAATTGATAAAGCCCACTCAGAACCTGGTGATGACATTTTCATAACCATGGGCTGGCTTTTGTACAAAAGGTTGTTGTGGTTCAATTCCAGACAGCAACTAAGACTGACAGGGCCATTCTGTGTCTCTTTCTGTGATGGGGAAGAGAACTGGAAGGGTAGAAGTGAGAAGACTCATTAGCTGAGATAAAGACATTTTAACAGATAAAGGAAAAGCCACACTTGTCAGCTAAGCAAAATAAGGAATTAATTTATTATTTCCCATTACCAGGCAGGTGTTCAACCATCTCCAGGAAAGCTGGGCTCCATCACACATAGTGGTGGCTTGGGAAAACAAGTGTCATCCCTGAATATCCTTCCTTTCTTCTTATTTCTGCAGCTTTCTATGCTGAACATGCTGTCATTTGTTCTTGGATATGCCTTGGCTCAGTTGGGGTCAGCTGTCCCAGCAGTGCTCCCACCAAGTGCTCCTTGTGCATCCCCAGCCTACGCACTGGTGGGGTGGGGCAAGAGGCAGAAGAGCCTTGTCTGCTCAGTAATAAATAAAACATCCATGTTATCAATACTGTTTTCAGCACAAATGCAAAACACAGCCCCATATTAGCTGCTGTGAAGTAAATTGGCTCTATTCACACAAAACAAGCACAAAGGTCTTTTGATATTCTGCCTTGTCAGCTTACATTGTAGTGAGAGAAGATAAGAGCCAGGTATTCCTCTCTATTGTCTTATGTACCAGTCCTCTGTGAGGGCTTCACACCCTTCAGCACCTTCTGCACTTCTCTGGTAATGGGCCTTAACCCAAATGTCCAACTAGACTGCTCATTCCTTCATTAAACTTGTAATTTATGTTAATTTCAAAGATGCAATTTTTGAAGAATAAAGCAACAACAGCTTAGAAGAGAAAGCTTACAACAGTTAAGGAAAATGTGATGTATGTGTTTATTGATTAAGGTACAAGGTAATGGTACATATACTGTGTGTATGCACTTATTATTGCATCTGTCATGAGATTTCTTACTATATTTATTTTCTGGGAAGTCTCAATTTGCATATCAGTGACAGCTTGCTTATTCCACTATTTTTTCTTGATGCTCAAAGTGTAGTATTAGCTTTGATCCTCAGAAAATCCTCAGCTAAATTCTGCCTAACTATTTTGTCCCATTTTAACTCCATCACCCCATACTTCCCTTAGTAACTCCATCTTTGTCACTATTAGATTTTCACCGTGCTTCAGTCCAGCCCCCCTTTTTTGGGTTTAATTTTTGACTCTTACATATATTTATGAAACAGGATAATGTAGTGTATGTTAAATTTTTGGTAGTTACACATGTTTCCTTTGCTTGCAAGATTCTAGTCTGAGTTAAGCAGGCAGGTTTCTCACATCATTCAGGGAAGGTCAGAAACTTCAGAGTGAACAATTACCATTTTGCATTTATGCATTTAGAGGCTAAGAGTTCCTCATAACCAAATCAATACACATCTTCATTAAGTTATATTAGTTAGGTCAGTTATTGCATTCACAATGTACTTTCCCCTTGATCAGTCCTTTGAAGGAGCTTTTAGAGGATGTGTGCTATGCAATGATCTTCTCAAAAAAGTCTGCAGAATTAAAACCTTGTGTTTTCTAGAGAGTAGTGAGGAAAATAATCCCTTGGGTTTTTTTTCTCTTTTCTTTCTCTGCCACAGAAATAAGCTAACATCATTTTTTCTTCATGTCACTTTGACTCACATTTTACCTCATGCTAGAAAATAATGCACATAATCCTTCACATTCTGAATTTTAAAAAATGAATCAAATATCAGGCAAATTTTTTTTTGCTCTCACAGACTTGTGCATGCTGATACTTCATAAAATCACAGAGATACAGAATAAGCTGAGTTGGAAGGGACCCACATCCTTCCACTCAATGGAAGGATCATTGAGTCCAACTTCTGTAATTGCCCTGGAAGCAGCCAAGATATATAGTCCTAGTCCTTGAAGGATTATTTTCTGTTGTTTTGAAAGCTTATAAATATTTGTATTTTAATGTATCTGTCAAAAATACAGAGGGAAAGACATGTAAAAAAAATAAAGTTATTTCCCATTATCAATACTTTTTCTGCACAGCTGCCTGGTATACCACAGAAGTACGAATATATGAAAGCAACCCCTTTAGAAAAAAAAACACTGCATTTTCTTTCTTCCTAGTAGGGTGTAATCACCTTGTTTTTTAAAGCATTGAGTATTTTCTTTTAATCATTAAGCATTTATATTGAAAATAAAACAGATGTAGGATCTGCCTTTACTTTCTTGAGCTGAGCCACCCAAAATTTTTGTGTTGCTTTCTGCAATGTATGCCAGATGATACTTTGGCCTGTTTTAAGTCTGATCACATGTTCTTCTGCTTGAGCAAGTTGACCAGTATTTTTGTATTTGATAACTTTATAATTTAGCATAACTGAGTGCTAAAAACCTACCAAGAGCACTGTCTCCAGAATATTACTGGCATTTGAATCAGTACTACTAAAAATGCATTGCTATGACAACTTAATTATAAGAAGAGGATTAATCAGATACACAGCAAATCTATAGTTGAATGAACTTCATCTTTCAAGTTGCACTGCTTGTGTGCAAAATTTTGATTTGATAAGGAGAAAATATATTGTAATGCTGTGTAATAAATATTGAGAAATATAATGCAATGCAGTCTGCATTATAAAGAAATAATGATCTTCACAGTATTTTCCTACTACTGATAAAAATATAATAATGTTTCTGATGAATGCTAGAGTGACTTTACTAGCAGCACTTCACTTTTTCTATTTCAAAATGGATTTCATTCTTCAGTGTAGTATGTCATTCAGTAAACAAAAGACAAGGAGATTTTCTATGGGAAGTTCCATTGAAGCAGACTACACTGCAATGCCAAACTACCTTATTGTGCAAATATAATGACTTTTAAAGACAGTAGAAATTCACTGAGAAGCTTTATATAGAAATTTCCCACTTTGCTTCAATTAACAAGTAAGATACATTTCAATTATTGTTTATATTGACTTTCTTGAATGTTGTGAACTACCTCAATTTCTGAAATTATTTCAGCCAAATTCACTAGTGAGGGATTTTCTCTGTAGTATCACCGAATTCAAAGCTATTCTGATTCCTGGCTGTTGCTATATTCTTCAGCATCCAACAGTATTTAATGACACATATTTTGTTTTATGGCTAGGGGTTATAGGCGCTTCCTAGTCATTTTTCTACATTTTCAGCTGTAAAAATTGAAGGTGAAAAACAAATAAAAAATAAATGATAGAGAAATATTTTGGTTTGCAGTTTTCAGACTGAATATATAGGATAAATTTACCAGAATGATGTTTTGGGTTTTTTAAGAGGTTCCTCCAGATTTAGTTTGACTAAAAACATTGGAGTCATAACAAAGAGAGGGCAAAACATAAAAAATCTTCTCAGAAGCGTCATTTTGTAACAATTTCTGGTTTGGAAAAGCACAGCCTTTCTTGTGAAATTGAGTTAAAATGGACCTGGTTTTGAAAAAATTAGACATGAGGAATACCTTCCACTTTTCCTTACCTCTCAAAAGCTCAATGTTATTCATGCCTTAAGGGTAGTAAGGGTTACCTTATAAATTAAGGGGGCTTACATTATATATAGTGCCATTCTTAGCTTAATTTTTTGTAACACCACATTCAGTGTTAATAGTTTAAAACTGTAAAATTAAATCGTATGCTTAAAACACTGGCTTGTGAGCACAATATTATACTCTGAC